CCTGTCTGCCAGCTCATAGCCTGCTGCATGTTTTTGTAGGAGACATTTACATAGAGGTTGGCAAGGTGTGTGAGGGTTCCATTTTAATTCAGTTAAAGATGTGTTTAGGGCACATCCACTTATTGATCAACAGTTTCTGATTCCTACATGGCTCTGGAAGAATTTATCTGTGGGTATTTTTTTTCAGTAAAATGGTTTTTTTTCATGGGCAGGAATATATCAAAGACTTTAGAGGGCAACCTGGTTAATCTTGAAGTCTTGGGAATAAATCCCAGCAGAGCATATTTTCACATTTTTTTAATTTGAAAATATGCAAATCAAATAAGACATCCACGGAGGCCATTTATATTTCATATCTTAGCTCTGATCGTTGTTTGTGATGTTTCATCTGAGGTACAATCATTCATAATTTATAATATATTATAATGGTTGAACTTGATGATCCTAAAGTTCTTTTCCAACCTAAATGATTTTATGATTCTTTAATTAGATAAACCTGTAACCCTAATCAAGAGAGAGAACTTTCAGTTACATCATGTTACTTCAGATCATTAATGGTAGAAGCAGAAAAGATCACATGGATCAATCTGCTTCCTTCATAATTCTTCGATGACTTCTCTGCATTATCATTCCTACTAATAATTTAAACTCTTCTTGTAAATCCACAATAATAATGTGTTAAATGCTTTTCCAGGGAAAAGTATTTTATAGTTGTTCTTGAGTGTTCCCAATGTTTTCCCTTGTCTCCTGTTCTGAAGGCTTGTTTTATATTTGCAACGGGCTGTCACAGAACTACATCTTCATGTCAAGTGTGTTACATCTGGATTTCAAAGCCCATGGCTCTGTGTGCCTGACACCCAAATGCTATCCTTGAAACCTAATTCATCAGCTCAAAGAAAAACACCTTACAGGCTTCTGCATTTCTGAGGTACATAACTGCCTCCTCGAATCCCTGTTGTGTATGAGCCCAAATATCCACTTCTGGCCATGTGCAGATTTCAATTCTTCCAAATCAGAGCAGAGGTCACATTTCTTTGAGCAATTAAAATATTTTTTTTTTCTAACTTGACAGTTTTTAATTTTTAGGTATTACAATAGCAGTCCATGGTTCCCACTTGGCATTTTCTGTCACTGTTTCTCATTCCATTGCTTTGGGTCCTTCAGCCTGTGTACCAGTGCCAATTATCTCTGCAGCAGCATCACTGAGCACCCAGCCCTCTCCACAGCCAAATAGCCTGACACGCTCAATGCTTTGTCCTTTATTGTTTGGGGCCCGTTTAAAACAGCAGAGAATTAATGGTACCTTTGCTGCTATTTCCTGTCTTGTTAGTCAACAAGCATGCATTGTCTGTTTATCCCTATGAATATAAATCCAAACTGTCCCACAAGGCAAGATAGGATGTGTTCCCATTTACTACTCAAACATGCACTGAGTGTTCAGAGTATTTTCCCTCCTCATTTTCTCTCAGGGTTATTTCTCATGCAAGATTATTCCATTAGATTGACAGAAGTGTTCCATTTGGTGAGCTTCTACCTGTTAAACAGGAGGGTTCGTTGCATTGGTTGTTTCTGCTCCATGCCGGATTTATGCTGCTAGATGTGCAGTATTTCTGCATGCTGGGGAGGTGAAATTTAGATATACTTGTCTACTTTAGCGAAATTCTTGCTGTTGATTTGCCCTTAGTTGCTTGATCGAAGTTCTTGCCACTAAATTTTCTATTTAGTCAAATTAGTGGCAAGTAATCAAGAGAGGTGGCACCAATATTTGAAATAACAGTGAATTCATATGAACAGGGACACCTTGGCTGTTGCAGATTTGAGTCTTTTCCTTCTTTAGCATATGTGATTTTATGAATTTTATGGAAAACACTAATTGTTTCAGCAACTGTCTCTGCATATGAGTTTCCACGTTTGCATGTGAATAAACAGAATAAATCATAACTAAATTTGTTATTACAACAGTCCACAGCAGGAGTTACTCCCACGTTGATTCTGGAATTTTACCTGTGGCAGAGCATGAGTTTTAACTCAGAATTATTACATATAAAAAAATGTGTATTTTGATGTTTGAAAGAGAAAGAGTGGGCAAGAGGATGGTTTATTTTTTAAGTAGATTTCCAGAAATCAAATATCAGTGTGAAATGGAGGTTATTGTGCTGTGTTGGCAGCACTCCATCCTCCCCACACGGAATCACGTACTTCACCTGAACCTGCAAGAACCATCATCTTTGAGACTCCAGCAACTATAATTCAGGGGTTTTGTTATTACTAGAGAGGCAGGCATTTTCTGCTAAACAGTGCTGAGTGATGTGTGGTGATTTTATGATCTTATCTGGGGATTAGGGAGTTGGAGCTAAACTCATTTACCTTAGAGTCACATATTGGCCTCAAACCACAGTTCATGGACCATGCTGATTAAAAGCAAATGATTTTATTCAGTTCACATTAAATTCAAACTTCAGGCCCCGGAGACCTGCAGAAAGAATGTATTAACACTTATCTTACAGAGCTGAAATCTTCCAGGAATAGCAATCCTTCAGCAGCAGAGCAGAGAGAGTGCTAAGGCTTTCAGGAGTCTGGCATTTTGTCCTGAAGGAGCCATTGTGCTATGAATTAAATTTTGAATTCTGGGAGTGCAGTTTTCAGGGGATATTGTGTGTGCTGCTCCCAGAGGATCACAGGAATAACATTTGTACACTCCAAAGTTAATTTAAATCTTTATTATAGAAGATAAAATTGAAAGAGTGAAGTCCATTCCTGTCACCTGAGAGAATCCCTTTAGCTTTTAGTAGGTTATTTTCCCAATGGACAGAATGAGAATTGGGGATAAGGGTCTCAAGCAGAGGTTTTGATTGATTCTTAATAATTCCACCTCTTCCTACCCCCTTATAATACAGATAGTAGCAGGATAATTTATTGTTGATGATGTGCTGATTTGCAGCAAAGAAGCATCTGCCTCTCAAGTATGATCCTAAGAAAGTAATATTTTTGTTGTATCATCATTCAGTGTCAACAGTGCACTAGAAGGCAGTGGAAAATTAGAAACCATATAATGAGACACACAATATGGAAATGGGCTGATGTGTCAAAGGGAGAAAGGAAGATACAAAGAACTTCTTTCTAATGCTGAATCATTGTGAAGGAATATGTTCTGGATCCCAGCAATGAAACAGAGCATGTTTTTCTCTGGAATTATATGCTCATAAATATCTCCAATATTTCCTTGGCCAATGTTTGAGTATTGTAAATTCACAGGAAGATTAATAATCCACTTGCAGTGGAACAGCAATAACCTGTTTTTCTGCTCTCAAAAAATGTGCATCAGCATACACAAATCCCTTTTCCCCCAAGTCTGGGCTAACCAGAAAGAGCTTTGATTTCAGAGCTGGTCAGCATTACAAACTGAGAAGTTTCAGTGACTTAGTGGGCTCTGTTTCGCCTGATGAGGTCCCTGAAATGGTTAAAGCAGGAATGGAATGAAATAAAAAGATAACTTAGTGCCTAACACCAGTTAATGTAACTGGTTTGCTTGTAAAAATAAACTGGTTTGTCTAGGATTTAAAAAAAATATTAAACTGACCAATTGATGGTAACATAAGTGGCCAGAATATTGGCTTATATAATCTTGCAGAATTTTAAACATTATCTTTGGGTTTAAGAAGCCTGCTGGCATAACAGTATACTCAGCTAAGCCTGGCATTCCACGTTCATTTAAAAGGATTTGATGGATCCTCCTGTGTCTGTAGGTTTCCTTCACAACCAGGCAGGCTCACCAAGGAGGTTCAGGAGCTGCAGTTCTTGCTCTCGCAGTCGCTCTGCAGCAGGGACTCTCTCTGTGAGGGGAACTGCAGCCCTGTGCCAGTGCCCACAGAGCCTTCAGCTCCTTCTCTACCTTGCCTGTTCAAAAGCCAACATAAGGAAAAGCTGGAGGTTGATTTCACTGAGACTGAAGACGTGCTGACCACAGAAAGAGGGGCAAAGCCATTCTCTAGGTTACAACAAGGAAAGAACATGACAGAAAGTTTTGGATAACAGAAACCTTGGAATCATCTCAAATATGAACGGTCCACTCTTTTTGATTATTAGCAATTAGGGGTACCTTATTCTCTTCTATTTCCCAAATCTTCGTTCGCGAAGCCTAGCCATGATGATTCTCTTCTATTAAATTGCCTCCCCTCTGAAAATATTGCAGTATTTACTAAAGAGGCTTTACAAAGTGTAGGAGTTGTTCCTTCTTTATGGACAGTTTTATACTTTCATGAGGGAAAACACTGACTGCCTTTTCCTGAAGTTCAATTAGTTTTTGTGTTAAGTTAAAGTTAGTAACCTTTTATATGCATGGCTGACTATTGCTCTGCCAGTCTGGATAAAGATCTCCTGATTCTCTGTCCTTAAATAAGATTCATTTGTATTGTGAAACCTCTTTTCCAGGGGCACCTTTTATGTAACTCTGGATGCTCTGTGTTATAAGACATTCTAGACAGTCCCATATTTAGTTTCTCTGCCAGTTTTGTGTCTCTTGCTAGTCGTGCTCTTTCAGAATCTCTCCAGTTCTTCTACTTTTGTCTCACCTGGTTCCCCAACCTGGAAACACAATCCTAATTTCTCAAAGGAGTGCAATATATTGCACCTGTGTCTTACATATAATTCCTGTAAGCAATGCCTCCCAGAAAGAGATTAGTCTTTTCTATTTGAGCATCATGTTATTAATTCACCATAAGCTTTAGATGTTTTTCTGCTGAACTGCTCCCCATTTTGCTTTTGTGCATTTCTTTTGTCCTTCCTAAGTGTAGAGCATTTTACAGTTACCTTTATTGAATTTAACTTTGTTGAGTTTACATACTGTCCAACCTGTCGAGATCATTTTGAATTCTCACCTTGTCCTCTGAAATGTTTGCAGAAGCTCTAAAGTGCGTGTCACAAGCAGATTTTATAACTACCCTCGAATCTTATTAATCAAACTGATAATAGTAAATATATTTTTAATTAAGTTTAGAACACCACTCCCCAAAGGATTCCGCTTAAAATATTTCCATTATTTGACAGAGGAACATTTCTCAGCAGTTTTTATATATATATATATATATAAGTTATATATACATTCTTTCTGCAATTTCCATTGAGGACATATACCAGTCCTTTAGCATTTGCCTCTTAATGCAGCAGTGCTTCAGAGCTTGGCAAGGCTTAGTCCTGGGGTGGTTTTGTATTGCTTCCATCTGTGAACCAAAGGTACATCATTACCTTTATCAGGGCTTTTTTTTTCACATGCTTGTTGTACTATCAGTAGTAATTTGAAGACCCTCCACCTCAGCAAAATTTCTGCATTGCCTGGGAACTCTTGGGGCACACAGCAGAAATACTAGTCACTGGAATTAGTAAATCTTTTCTTCACTGTTTATGCTATTCTTGGTTCATGCAATGGTATGGTTCCTATTATAGGTGTGCTACTTTTCAACTGAACAATCAGACATTTCACTGGAATAGCCAAATACATCATTTCCTGTTTCATATATGAAAAATGTCCTTGCAGTTCAGGAGTAGAGTAGGTGTAATGTGTATGTGTGGGCAGTTTATTCCATGGCACCCTCCTGCTTGTGCTCCCCGAAAGCCAACTCCCCACAGCAGCCCTTTGAGTCCTGATTTTCCCATTGCCTGCTTCTTCAACCCTAATATCATGTTCCTTCTGCCTCTTTTTTTAATTGCAGTTTACCTACGATGTGCACTATGTCAGCACACTCTTTCAAGTGTTTCTGAAGAGATGAGGATAATCCAAGGTGTTTGCACTGCAGATGAAATCACAAAGCTGGGTTGGTTCCTGTGGTTGCAGTTTCAAGTTTCCAAGCAGCAGGCTTGGACATTCCTTCTGTGTCAGTATTAGGAAACAAGCCAAGATGTTGGCTCTTACCTGTTGCTCTTCATATCAAAAGTGAGGAGGGTAATAATACATAAATGTTCAATGTAATGAATCACTGGGGCCCAACAGGGTTCAATACCCAGCTATACTAAACAGAAGCAGCATGCAAGGCCTAGCAAACTGAGGAAAACTGCAGATTTCAAATTCAAGGGATGGAACAAAATTCAAAACAAGGGAATTCTTGCGTCATTTCTAGCCTTCAACTTTTATGGATGAAGAGTTTCTTGTTGCAGCCCTACGTATTTAATCTCTAATCTAGAATAAATACTTTGCTGATAAATCCAATTTGTCTTTGACTAAAGCCCAATAAGCCTTTAGCCTGATGAGCAAGCTTCTCGCTACCTGTTCTCCAACATGCAAGAGCCCTTAGGTTCAGTTTCTTTCTCTGCTAGGTTTGAATATTGCTTTTCCATATCCTCAATTAAAGTGACAGATCTTTGTGGGGCAGATGACTTTTTCTGACTTGAGGACCACCTACCAGAACTCAGGTATAAAACAGAGCCACAGAATTTTGCATCACATTATTTGGAGACAAAAGGAGAATTTATAGAAAGAAGATCTCAAAGGTTTCTCATTTTCTGTTTTAATATTGCTTCTGGTTTCCAGGTTGGTTTCAGTACTTACTTGGCTTACTTGCTGAGTGATTTGAATTCTTCTCAGTCCCTCTGTCGGCAGGGCTTCGCTGCATCCCTTGGTCAGCACTGCAAGGGGATGAGACGTGAATGTCTTGCAAACTGCTGTGGCTCAAGAGCTGCCAACTGGCCAGCCTTCAACTCTGGAGTCCTTTTGGTCTGTCTGTCTGCTTCTCCTTTTTTCCTTTTTGAAGTTAAAAAGAAAGTTAAATCCCAGATTTCTACAGGGCAGAGGAGCATTTTCTGCACTGCTCTGGAGCCAAGGGATTAATTCTTTACGAATGCTTAGTCAGCCTGTCATAGAACTTTTCTGAGGCCTGAATTCCCGTGTCTGTGTGTTTTTTTCAGTAGCCCTCTTACCATCTGATCCCCCAAGCCAGTGCTGTCGCTCAGAACAAGGTCATCATTTCTCAGTCCTGTTCATTGTACATCAGCTCACTGAAAACTAATTTTTCCTTAGCACAGTGCAGTCTCTATTGATCCACAGCATGTTTTGGTCAGTGTCAATTTGGATAGAAAGGGATCTGTGTAGTATGTCAGTGTCCTTCTTTTGTTTCCCATCTTCAGTTAGATTCTCCAGCAGCAGGAAGCACAGATGCAGAGTCATGACTTGTATTACGTGTGTTGCAGCTGGTCTCCCATTGGAAAGGTTCTCTGTCTGTGAGTAGACCCATCTGATTCTTCAGTTTATTTTCCATACAGGCACACAGTTCTGACATCATCTGCTCCAGGCTGAAGCCTGAATTCTGAGATAATTGTTTAGCCTGATCATCATTTCTCCCCTCACTCCCTACTGCTTCTTTGACTGTGATAAAAACTGTTTCTTAAAAGCAGGACTGTTGTGGAATGTTGATTCTTCCTTCTCTGATGGAAGTGAAAGGGGGGCTCTTTTCTCTATAAATTGCCTGTTGCTCAACTTGCATTAGCAGTTAATTGTGGTTGATGTTAATCAGGTTTATACTTCAGCGGTTAATCTGTTGAATTTGCACTTACCTGGTTTGTATGTATAATTGAGACAAAAGCTCGTAAATTAGGTGAACAGTATCTGAGTCCATGGAAGAGCTTTGGTGTACCTCAAAATCCTTAGGACTTCACAATTTCCTTTAAGAAATTCAAGACATTTAAAAAGAGGGGTGGAGGAGGTTAGCAGCTGCAAAAACATTGTTCACAGGAAGATGGCAGGGGTATGAAAGGTAGGTCACTGCAAAATGCATTATGTTCTCCTCTCCCCTCCCCTCCCCCTCTAAAAAAAAATACTCACCCCAAAACAAACTAAAATTTGTGAGAATCTGAAAAAGTAGCTTGATGCGTATTAAGAAGTAGAGCTCCTTAGACAGTATGCAGATCATCAAATATTACGAGAATTCATGACCAACAAAATGACCTAAAAAAGATGCAGCAGTAATGGATTTTATGTGTGTGCTCTAACAGGAGTAATATCTTGCTTTATATAAAGTTTCTTTTAGATTCTACCAAACTTTACAACAACAATTAGTTCCATTAAATTATTCTATGAGGAACCAGAAGAGTTATTATTACTTTTACTTATTTTGTATGTGAATGATGGAGGTGATGAATGATGTAAGGAGTAAAGGGTGACTTGTAGAATTGGTAGATTGGTTTTGCTATCCCTGTTGCTTGCTCTAACTGACACTTCCTAGTGGTAAGAGCTCTTCTTTTTTTATGTGATTACATGTCTCCTTCCTGGCTTGTTCTTGGTACTCATGGAGTTTTATTTTTTTAGCTGTTGGAAACAGTTATTTACACAGACTCTTGAGCCTCTCTAAAAAATGTTTTAGATATTAGCACTGTTGGGTGGGGTTTAAAAAAAGCTCTGAACTCTACGAGTAAAGAATCTAAAATTGGTTCACCACTCTAGATTTCTCTTGTACCTTTTCTTCCCTTAAAGGCATTAACATGTCATTCCTGAAAGCCTGAGGTTCAGATAACTGCTGCATAAAAGCTGGGCATCATTCTCCTACTTCTGAAGTGCTTAGTTAATTATATTATGAATGAGGTTTTATTACACAATAAATGTATGTAAAATATGTTTACGTATGCAACTAAATATCTAAATCAATCATGTACACAGAAGGCCAAAATTGGTTATTTGTTCATAGTAATTGCATATTGCATTGGATTGCTTAGACCCTGGGTAATGTTGGTCATTCAAACATAGATTTAGTATAATCTAAGACTTTACTTTTCCCAAGGGAAGGTTCCACAGTATGTATTTCTACAGTGGATTCATTCTGCCCTGGGATCTGTGTTGGTGCTTCACCAGCAGAGTGGCCCCGATGTGCCACAGGAGCCCTTGCTGGGCTGTGTCCAGCCCTGCTGTGCCCTCATGGCCTGGGGGGCCTCTGCCCTGGCACCTCAACCAGGGCCTGGGGCTTGGCAACAGGGCACGTTTGTGTTGTAGCTCGGGCATTTTCACTCCTGTCTTGCTCTGCAAAAACTCAAGGGGAAGTTTTCACATCAACTCCAAGGATCGTTTTTTGGTTTCGTCAAACAGAGTTATAATTTCCTTTTTTTTATACATTATGCACTATGCAGTCAAAAATTTGACATTATAAAATCCAATTCCTTTCATGCTTTGAACTAATTACCGTGCCCTTTTCACTCTAAGTATGGCAATGTCATTAAATTCCTTCTCCAAGTACTCTGAAAGGCATAAAAAATTGCGGCCTAGCCGAGGGAGCTGTGAAATGACTGTGAAACGGCTCCGGGTTTAATCATCTGAGCTGTCCTTCCAGAGAACACGATTCAGGCTGCATCTGTATCTAGCTGGCAATTAAACAGCTTGAATCGCGACATGAATGCTAACACCTCTTCCTGCTGGGCGTTCTTAGGGCGAGGTAGCCGATAATAAATAAATAAATAAAGTACTGAAAGATGTTTGACAGGGAAGGTGAGGCCCAAGCTCGTCAGTCCCCTCAGGGCGGCGGCTCTCGTGAGGGCTCAGGGGCACCAGCACCCTGAGGGAACGAAACGGGCTGTGGGGACCCAGCACAGAGCCGTGTCCGTGTCCTCCACACTGACCTTCTGGGCTGTGGTGTCCCCTCAGCAGAGCCGTGTCCGTGTCCTCCACACTGACCTTCTGGGCTGTGGTGTCCCCTCAGCAGAGACGTGTCCCCTGCACCGACCAGGACAATTGTAGCAGCCCTGGCAGAGCTCCCAGGAGAGGCAGACAAAGGACGTGTCAGAGTCTTCATCGGCATGGTGAGAAGAGCTGTGTGAGGGGTGACGAGGTGGGTGTTGTGCTCAGCCCAAATGAGGAGCAGAGCTGTGGGAGGAACTCGAAAGGTTAAGGAGCACTGGGGAGTCTGAGAAAGAGAGAGACTGGAGGAACCATGCTCTGCCCTACCTGAGATAGGAACAGGCACCAGGAAAAACAGTAAGATCGAAGGAGTTGTGTGTCCTTACCCTGCCAGGCAGAAAACAGCAGCTTAAGGGAAATGAGTGAATGGAGTAACACTCCCTCCTTGCCCACCTCACCTGCCCAGATGCCTCAGTACAAGGGATTAGAGGATCTGAATGTACCGGGCCAGTCAATGCTCGATGGGGTGATGACCCACCTATGCCAGAGGTGTTGCCATGGGCAGAAAGACCATACCCTGTGTCACAACCACCTCCAGAAAGTGAAAAGATGGGTTACACTTGCAGGCAACTCCCTTGTGAGGGGAACAGAGGGTCCAAATGCCAGACCCTCCCAGGGGATGCTGCTGCTTCCCTTGGCCCAGGTTAGGGACATCACCAGGAAACTTCGTGACCTGGTAGCCCTTGGATTACTGCCTGTCCCTGCTCTTCCTTGTGGGTGGTGATGAAACCACAATGCACAGTCCAGAGGTGATCAAAAGAGGCTTCAGGGCCTTGGGACAGGTGAGGGAATCTGGAGCACAGGTTATGTTTTCCTTCCAGTTGCAGGCAGAAACCTTGGAAGAAATAGATGGGCCCAGTGTATTAATCCATGGCTCTGAGATGTGCTGACTACACTGCAGCACACTGGAAGTCTTACAGAGAGGAGCCAGGAGCTCCTGAGGTAACAGGACTCACCAGGGAAACAGATGACATCCCTCAGAGGAGTCAGGGGGTGTAATGTGAGGGTGACATGGACAACAGCCCAGCTGAAGGGCCAAGAAACAGCAGGAGCCAGAGCTACGGTGCTGCTGGAAAGCTACAACCTACTTGCCATTTCTGAAATTTGGTGGGATAAATCCTGTGGGAGTGTGGCTAATAAATAAGAAATATTTAAATGGATAGGTTTAACAGTGAAACAAAAACATGAATTCTTCAGAAAGTACTTTTTCTTGTCCTAGAAGACAATAAAAGTTAAGTTTGGACTACCACAATTTCACCTTTTAGCTTTTCATTGAGCTAATTAGACAGAAGCTGGATGCTATTCAGACTTGTGTTGCTCAGAGAAGTTTGTTTCAAAACCTTTGTGATACGATGTAAAATTCTTCTCTTAAAGAAATAGAAAGAAAATTGAAACAATAGCTCAGTTTTAGAAACCTGCCTGAATTTCAGAAAACTAGCAAACAACAAATCTGATACTCCTTTCTCTTTCTTCTGAACAGAAGGGGTTCTCCTCATTAACCTCAACACTGTCTAATTTTAGACGTTTGAGTTTCTTGTTGCCTACTGCTGGATATAAGATATTTATTCTGCACCCACATCAATTCCATGCTGGGATTAGAGTTCAAAGACTTGATTCAAAGTCCCTTTTGTGTGAATTGGAACAGATTTTGCATAAAACTGGCATGTAAGGTGCTGTTCATTAGAGACATACATTGGCATGACAGGAATAGTTTTATCCTCAGAGTAGGAAGTCAGGGACTGTGTTCTGCCAGTGACTTGTGAAAGAAAATAAGGCTTAGGTGAGTCTGGTTTATGGGTAGGGCACAGGTAGAGAAGGATTTATGCTGGAACCAAAAACAAATAAAAGGATGATTCTTTGTGAATGTAAGGGCACCTGTGCCTGTCACTACAATGGTTCCAAGCCATCTGTTTTAAACTTAGCCTGGTGTTTTGCAGACACTATTTTTGTTAATATCTAAAAGTTTATGCTTAATCTTCATTTATTTCATGTGATTAATTCTTCCTCATGATATTGGTAGTTCCTTTGCCAGGAAGGCATAAACCTTCCCAGGAGTGCCAATCTGTTCAGTGTTAGTTGTGCATGAAGGTCAAATGTCTGTTGTGCCCAGACCCCCATCTCATGTGAGTTTCTGGATAATTTGAATTACTGAGATTAAAAGAGACAAAACCTAATTTTGAGCTCTTATCTGCAGCCACTTCTTTTCTTTTCTGTCAGATGATTTTAAATTCTTAAAGGTGACATCTCAAAAGTAAACATGTGTTTATTTTTAGGGAGCTAGCTATGCTTCAGTGAATGAAGCTCGTAACAAGCTTAAGAGGAAATGGAACTTGATATAAATCACAATATATCATTTCATAAACACTGTCACAAAGGGGAGAACAAACATTATGAAGTTAACACAGTAGAAGACAATTCTGAGGAAAGAAGAACTGTAGTAGTCCATGTTTAGCAGATTATCGGTGTTCAAAGGCTAAAATGCAGTACAACAAATATGTAATTACTTGGTTTGCAGGTATTTGTGCTCATGGTTCAGAGTCTGAGTTAGTATCCATCTAAGTTAATGGAAGACTTTATTTCATTTCCACTGGATTTTGATTAGATTTTGGAAATAAATTTTACATACCTACAAGGGTTTTTTTCAAAGGAGGATACTAAGAAAAGAACGATAAGCTATTAAATATACAAATGAGTTGCTTTCCATATTCTTAATAGTCTTAGTACTTTTCTCCTATAAAGAATATGCCTTAAATTTGTTTTTGGTTTTTTTTTAAAGCAAACTACTAGTACTTTGCTAGTCCATAACAAAAAAGTTTGGTATTTGCAGTTTCCAATAGATCTTTAAAACGTTTCTGTTTCTTTACTCTTGTGAGAAGTTTGTGTGGGGAAGAGTAACCACTTCTATTTAAGAGAAGGTACTTTACAGAAAGAACTTATTTCTAGGCTTGTAGCCGCAGCCAAAAACTGGTTATTGCATCATGGGACTATTTCATATTGCAGGCTAAAGATTTCACAAGCAGGAATGATGAATAAAAATGCTGGAATATGAGGAATGCATATTGAAGGTTGCGTGTTGTCATAAATGTGGATTTTCTAAAATTAATGGTTTGGTTTTGTGAAAAACACTAAAATTCTGGTAGGAAACCTTGCTTTCATATTTCTTCCTTTTGCAGACAGTGAGTTTGCAAGTGGTGTGTTCCGTTATGTTAATGGAGTAACAATGAGAACGTGGGACATTCTTAGGACTGGTAAAAACCAGCTTAACATGCTTCAGGCTCTGAATGGACATTCAGCTCTTGAAACAATGAATGCTGTTTAAACTTCTGCTTTCCTTGGCCAGTTCTGGAGTTGAAACGTCTTTAACGAGAGGAACAAATATCTGACACCACTGCAGTGTAGTGTGTTTTCCTCTTTCATTAACTGGCAATGCATAGATGTTGGGGGAAATGTAAAATAAAGTTACAGATAATGTAGTTTTGTTGTTGGGTCTTGGGAATTACTCATTGGTAGAGGCTACATGAAGGGCAAGAATGCGTAACAGCTGTAGCAGCATTATAATATCCTATTGACATTTCAGAATTATGGAATGTTGCATTTCACCTGATGGCCATGAATACCCTGCATTTATATTTCTTTTTCTCCTCTTGTAACTTGAGATTGATATCCATCATTTTATTAACCCTTACATTCAATTATTAAGAGTCACAAACCCTGAGCTTTAAGGTATGACTTTAAACTCTTTTCTTCTGATGACACCAATCATGGATGGAAACGAACTAAACCAGATTTCCTTTTCCACCGTGGTAAGGAATTCCCCCCGTTTCTGCCCCGAGATAATGTTTTCATTCCCTGCAATGATGAATGCTGTGTAGAATGCTTCCATCTCAAGCACAAAGAGAAAACAGATGTGTTTACATTGTCTCCATGGAGACACAAAGACACAAGCTAAATTCACACTAGCATCAGGGAGAAGATTCCTTCTCCTTTGTCTTCCAGAGATGGAGAATTGCAGGCAGAATATTTGAAGCAAATGAGACAGAATTCTCTACAGACCATTTTTCTCCCCTGTCTTCTCAGCAAAGGATTCTTTGTGCGATCCTTCAGCGGAGATTCCGGAATGCAGTGATGGCTGTTTGTAGTGCCACTAGGAATTCGCTAAGAGTTTAAAATATTATCATTTGTCTGAACATCTTAAGCAAAAATAAACAGGTAATTCTCTACAACTACTTCATGTCCTGTCTCAAACACACCAGTCACTTCAATTTATTCAGTGAGCTCGTGTTACTAAATGCAATGGAATCCTACAACCTTCCTTCTGTCCCTTGGTTGAAGGATCATTGCCTACATTTCCATAGACATTAGCTGGAAAATATTTTTCTATCATATTTTTATCCCTTTGCACTTGCCTATTTTCGTGGATCTTTACAATTCACCACTGTGTTTCTCCAAGCAACTGCACTTTGGCCATACAACTCATATGACAAGAGGTCAGTGTGAATGTTTTGAGGCTCACAGTGTCTAGGAAAGGAAGGGAGAAGCCTTTTCCCTTTTCTGCGCTTTCTCTGGAGATCACAATTTGTTCACAGAGCTGAATATATCCTTATAAAGTCATGCAGTTTTTGAAATAAATGAAGTGAAACAAAAGAGCAAAGGATGAATGTGCAAAAATATTCAAGCCAAAGTTTTGTCAGTTCATATGTGTGCATTCAAGCTATTATTTAGGAAAATGTTCTCTGAACTAGAGCTATTTTCAGAAACCTTCATGTAGTGGACAGAGCTTTGGTTTATTAGTATTTTTGGGAAATACATTTTAAAAAATTAAAACTAAACCCTAAAGAGAGAAACAATTGTGTGATGTCTTCAAATTAATTTTCTGGAAAAAATTCTTTAAATAAAATTATTATTATTATCAGTTTTTAGGTTGTGCCTTCCAAATATGCATGTCCCTGCATTCCATTTAGAAACAGTACAAACCCATCTTGAAATATCTCATTTTTTTCTTGATTTAGAAGTCTAATCATTCAATTAAATAGAAAAAAATAACAGTGGCTTGGATGGCCAATCCCATAGTGAAAATGAGTAGCAGGAAATAGAGCAGATGGTGAGGGAAGAATCAAGAAGCAGACGTGAGTTCAACAAAACACGTATTTCAAAGAATTCTTCACAGATCGTGATGTGAACGAATAATTCTTTGAGGGAAAAAAGATAGCATGCTGAATAATTGTTAAATACATGAATAATTGTTAAATACATGTAATTCCTCCAGGTTCCATTGTAGTTTTAGTTACAATATCAAAGACCTAAGTGAGAAACCTCATACAAGTGAACATCCCATTCAAGAAGAGGCTGCCATCTGTATACATAAAACTGTTTTTGTGCAGAAGTATTTATAGAATCAAGGCCCT